GTGTAAGCAAAATTCTTTTGTACAAGTAAATCCAACAACGTAAACATTGAATAAGATAAGCAAAGTATTGACATAAGTAAATCGAAATATAGATTATTACAATATAAACAATTCTTTATTCATCAATAGTGTTCATTGAAAATAAAGAGAGAGAGAGAAATGTGTTTTTATTTGAATCAGACTAAAAGATTATTTAAGCTTCACTCATTTGAGAGCGAAAAATAAATAAACAAAATTGAATTATTTTTCATAGATTATGTTGATCAGTATTTCAAATAGTCATGAAAACAACAAAACTTTCAAGGTTGACGAGAAGTTTTTCATACATCATATTTCTATATCTTAGAACTTTTCATGAAAGATATATCTGTTAGATTCTATTAAATTCTGTGAGAAGGATGGCTTAGTATTACTGATGAAATCCGATAGTTTCTGAAAACTATGATACGGAACATAATAAAATTACTTCATGAACTGAAATATTTTTCTACACTATTCTATTTTGTAAATAAACAAAAGTTGTAATATTAACAGGTATTTCAGAATGAAAGCGTATTTGTACATGCTAAGGATATTTCTTAAAATATTCATTGATTCCGACATAACTCTCATAATTCTCTGTAAAATAGTATATTTTTATTAAGATAAATAATCTCAATTTGTTTGGAAGGCATGCTTCAAACAGATAGTCAAAGATAAAAAATGACTCTAAAGAGACTTTTTGCCGAGTTTCTTTGATGACATATTTTAATGGTTTAATAAAAAATATCTTTTGATGTAACTTTTTTTTGTAAATGTTAATAGTAACAAATCTCTTCTAGATGAGTTCAAGATTAAAATGTGTACTATTCGATAGTAGGAGAAATTTCTTGTAACATCATTGTTCAGTCAATTGTTCAGTATGAAATTGTGTACTTCCGAAGATTTTTCTTTCTATATTTTGTGTTAGTCAAAGACAATTCTGAATTTACTAAGTGTATCAATTGTTCCTAGATCAAAATGACCACCAATGCTAAATAACAGAACAGTGCGTAATGTCATATCCTTCAATTAACATAAACATAATGCTAAAGCAATTTTTATGACTAACATTTGAAAAAAGTCATATCAAAAGATACTATTATTAAACCAATGGTGTAGCCAGCCGTGAACCATTTCGCAATCGTCCAATGATCAACAACTTATTGCCTACAGACTTCATGTACTAATAAAAATTAGACCATGGGTTGAACGGTGACTACCTACAGATTTTGTCTAAAGCGGTAATAGTTGTCTATATCTCAAAAATTCTAGCTACGCCATTGCACTAAACTAATGAAACGCGTTATTAACATGAATAAAAAATACACAATTTTTTTAGAAAATTAAAAATTGAAATCCGAACCAATGAACGTTATAAGAGATATCATTAACCCTTTCCGGTCGGCTAGTTGAAAAATGCTGTATCCTTATAGGGAAAAATGTTGCCATATGGCAACATCCAGCCGGAAAGGGTTAAAATACATAAAAGTTTATTTTCTTGAAAATTCCGTTGATATGATCGATTCGATGAAATAGGCTTGTATGAAAAATACGTCGTAATATGTCGACGAAATTTAATATCCTTGAAAATAAATTATATTAAATATTTTATTTTCAATTAGATCAATACGCTGTACTAATGATTTCTTCATCAAAAGTTGCATTTCAAGTTCTATCAGCCATTGTTTCATTTATCTCTCTCGTTACTTGTGGAATGACTGGATATCTTCTTGCTTTTCATATTTATTTATGTAAGTTAATAAAAATAAGAAAGCAAAATTTATGTCTACTATTAATATATTCTTTCTTTTCTAAGGTTATAAGCATACAACAACATATGATTTTGTCATTAGTCGACGGCATAATCGTACAGTTGATGAAACTATATTACAATTTAATCAATTAGGTCGAAATCCGAATAGTATATCAACAGAAACAACAGGACAATCGACGAATTTATCAAGATTTTTTCCTCTAAAGGTTTATTTCATATGTGAATAAATTATTTATTTTAAATCAATTGTTTTTCTTTTAATATTTTAGAGAAAAAAGAATAATCGAGTCGCAACTACACAAGAAAATGGTCATAATATATCTAATGATTCAAATCGTAATCAAAATGGACAGGTTTTTACAATTGAAGGACATAATGTATGAAAAAAACAACCTTATATATAATAAACCAAACCTATTTATCAATTATTAAAATATATCTAGAGAGATAATCCACGACAGTTACAAGTACGTCAAAGTACAAATCGAGAATCGTGTGTTTATAATAGCTCATATGAAGGAGCCGATGAACAAAATCAAGAGTAATTATTCTCTTCAAAAAAAAATTATCAAATGCGTTAAACAATCATCTATTGTGACAGTGATGTATTATTGTGACAATCAATATTTTCTTTATTTTCGTTGTTTTTTTAAATACTACTGTATTTGTTATTTATTTTGAGAAACTAAAAAAGAAAAAGAAGATATATGTTATTTTAAAATTAAATGAATAATAAAAAATAGAAAGAAAAAACATAAAATTTTTTCTTCTTGTATTTTTATAGATGTCACATAATCAATTAGTTCTCTTAGATGCTATTGAAAAAGGACACACTTCAATCGTACTTAAACTTCTACGAAATCATGTTGATTTGAATATCAAAGATATTTATGGAAGAACACCATTAATGATTGTTTGTTGGCTTTTATTATTTCGATGTGAAATAGAAAAAAAAGAAATTTTGATTTAATTATTTTAGGCAGCTAAGAATGGTCGAAGTGATATTGTTAAAATTTTATTAGAACATATAGGAACAAAAGATATTGAAGTCGATCATGGTGGAAAGACAGCATTACATTATGCAGCTGAAAATTCAGAATTATCTGTAAGTAACGAGTGACATAAACTAAATGGTGCGAAATATTTTCTTCTTTACAGAACACTTCTCAATAAGAAATGAGCGGTAACCAAAAAAATAGAACTTTATCGGGACTAAAAGCAGAAATAAAAAATTTATCGAAACCTAAAAAACCTTGTTCCAACACATCTCTATTCCTAACATGTTAAAGACTTTATTTAAGATTCATTCAATAGAGAATTTCCTACGTTACAAAACTATAGTCTTTGTTTTTCAAATAGTTTTTTTTTGTTAGCAAAACGTTTAAAAAAAATGAGCATCTACTCAATAGTCTAACTGTAATTTCCAAGTTTCTGCAGGCATCTATCGATTTATGCCAGAATCGATGCGAAAGCTTATGCATTTGGCATTACTGGATAAAGATTTTCGTGCTCTCTGCTTTCACTACACTTTGAAGATTTCTGTTGTTGTTGTTGTTCAGAAGAAAAACGCTTTGATTTCTCATATCGTCATATGTAGAATTTAATTTTGAACAAAATTTTTCTCGCATATATTTCTTCTAAAATTCTGAAATAGATATTACAAAATACAGAATTTTGTGAAGACCTTTATAGCATATATAAAATTTCAGTGAAGCATGTTTGAAAAGCTTTTTCATTCTTTGATAGTCACTGTTAGAGATTGAATACATGTTCATGTGTTAAAACTTATAATTAAAAAAAAACATGTTATTTGAATAGCAAGGATGTTAGTTGCCCAGGGCAGAAAATTCTCTATTGAATGAACCTAAAATGTGTGTAGAAGTGCCTTGAAAAGAGAAGAACATATTGTCTCGTTTATTATGCGATATCCGTTATAATTAATTTTGTTTGAAGAAAAAAACAAAAAAGCTGAATAAAATAAATTATTATAGGCAGTAAAAATTCTGTCCAAACATCAAGCAGCATCGACAATCATGACAACAACACAAACAAAACTTTTACCACTTGATTATGTTCTTGATAATGATGATATTTATCCATCATTGAATAAATATACTCAAGGTGGACAAGTGAGTGCAGGTGAAACGGATGATGATGATGATAATGTACCAAAAGCTGGAATTTATATAAAAACGAAAAAGAAAAGTAGTGGTAAGAAGAAGAAAGGTGGCAAAAAATCAGATTCAAAAAAGAAAAAGAAAGGTGGAAAAAATAAAAAATAAACATTAAAGTTTTATTTATGAATATTTGTATTATCTCTACTATTTTTAGTAATTTTTTTATTAAATATTTATTTCCATAGTTTTTTATTTTGTTTTAATCTATAAATAGAATAAGAAATGGATGAATGCATGCAATTAAATCGTAAATTTTAATAACGCAACAATGGGTAAATACATGAGAAAAGTCGTTTCAGTGCTTCGATTGTTAGAATATTCTCATACAACTTTCAGTCCAATTCAACAATTCACTAACATTCGATTAACATTTTACATTTAAGATTTAAAGAAAATTCCATTCCAATGTCTCGTCCTGTTTGTATGAATAATTTAAAAAAAGTGTCTTGTTAAACATAATGAAGCATATGCAAAACTAGACAATTCTATTAGGAAACAGTAAATTAATATATATGACTTCAAGAAAACATTAAGAGAATGTCATATTGTAATTTGCGCGTCTTCTTGATTGCGGACATTTTTCCGTAATTGGCGAAAAATAATGTCCGCAAAATAAAATGGGGGGGAGAGACAAAAATGTGCGCACATTGGAAAGTGTCCGCAGAGTAGAATCGGGGGGAGAGAGACAAAACTGTCCGCATTATGGAAAGGAACGAATATAGATATAGTATGATGATCAATGTGATTAGTTCGAGTTGAGGTTGTATTATGCATCTTCCAAGCTAGTGTGGAATGTCACATGGTGTCCAGGTCATTTTTTTGCATATAGTGTGGAAGAAAGTATATAAACTAATAGAGATATAGTCAGATAAATTTTAAAAAAATGTCGATCGTGAATGATAATAGCTTTTCTCCAATTGTAACACAATCTGGTAATGATGGAATAATGTTCAAGAACTATCATTTCGGATTAAAGCGCACAAATAAGAATGGAAACAAGGTGTGGATTTGTACATATAAATCTTGTAATGCTTCAATTACCACTAATGGTGGTCCGGTTTGAGCAAGAACAAGCTCAACAACGATCAACACGTCCTAAAAAAGCTACATCTGTAGCCAATGAAAATATTTTAATTCAAGCTAAACAAGAATATTTAGATGGTCGTTTAGATCTTGAAGGTTATCAAAAGCGATTACGTTCACTTTGTTATCGCTATATCAATGTATTCGATACATATGACAAGGATGATCTTGATTATGAACCTAAACAAAATTAGATATTCATTGTCTTTCAGTAATGAAATTTTTCTATTTTTTTTTTCTCAGTTAATAAAATTTGTCTTCATTCTATAATGCGGTCATTTTTGCCTCTCTCCCCCGATTCCGCTTTGCGGACACTTTCCAATGTGCGGACATTTTCGTCTCTCCCCCCCCATTTTATTTTGCGGACAGTTTCCATTAATTAGTAATTAAAAGTATCCGCAATCAAGAATGAGCCGTAATTTGTTTGCCATCAAAGATAAATCATAAAAAACAAACGAAATAAGATTTGATAAACGGCAAACAAAAAGGGAAGTCTATATAAATTGAACATGAAATGAAAGTTAGGTGATTATATCCTATCATTATTCTTAAAAAACAATTAAGCTAATCTACTCGTATTTGAGAGAGGCTGAAATAAGAAAAAAACTATAGTTTTTTCACTCTACTTTTCTTTTTTCCTGAAGTTTAATTACTTTTTTTTTTGATTATTGGCCCGCTCTGACCTTAATTCTTTTTGCTTCTTTGATTTTGTCCGGAAAATGACTTTTCCGCTCGAAGTATAATTATCCATTTTCTCTCTCTTGTCCAATCTGTATAAGACACTTGTTGAATGAAAAAGTGAAAATGCTCATGAGAATATTAATTAAGAAAAAGTTCGATAGTAAATAAATCAATATTTATTAATCAATTTTCAATGGCGATCAACATTTCTGAAGAGTTCATTCATGAAAAACCATATTTTGTTGGTTTATTTACAATAAATGTTCGAGACTGTTCCCACAATATTCGATACGAAGTTTAATCTTTTTTCATTAACTATTTAATTATGTTTTCATATGCAACAAGAATTATAGGATACATATTCTTGGTTGTTCGTATGAATATACTTGTTAATAATACTCTGTAGAATTTGTAGAAACTCAGCAGTTGTGTACATCTTTAGTTTGATATTAACATTGACTATGAAGCACACAGTTACTATCTGCATATGGAGTCAGCAACAGTAAAATATTAGTATATAGTATTTTTTACAATATTTAAGGTGCTGGAAAAATAGTTTAACAGCAACATATTTTTGCTTTATTTTTCTCTAATGTCAAGCAATTTGCTTAAATCCAAATAGTGGTTTTATTACTCAATGGAATATTCTATGTTCTACATTTCATAACAAGATGTCACAACACAAGATTTCTAAAAAAAACTTGAAAACAGTAGTTTCAGGTTCTAGAAAGTATTTTTTTAACAATGTTATTTTAAAGAAAACAAAATGAGAAAATGGCGCATTTTGTACGACACCATCTCAAACAGTTAAAAGTAGCACAAAAACTGTAAAAAAAAGGAATTTATCCAAAAGTCGATTAACAAAATAACTTCTTTCAATTTTTGTTATAGTTATAAATTTTTAGGAGAAGATCGTAGAAAATGCAGTGATTACTCATTTCGTTCTCTTTAAAATGGTATTGTTAACTCATCATAGTTCATCAATGAAATGTTATTATCAATCATAGGCGGTGGAACCTAGAGGCTAGGTAAGACATGAGCCTCATCCAAATTATGAATTCTATATTTTTTTGTACGATGGTTTAGACTTATCTTATCAGTTGAATATTATTTCAGTGCGAAGAAACAAACCTCTAATACGTTTATTTATATGTTGTAATAAAGATAACTAAGAAATTCAGACAATAATAAACTCACTCACTATGTTCTTATGGTTTACAGTGACACCTTCTATCTCATTTACATAAAGTGGTATGTGTACTAGGCCAACTGCAGAATTATGCGGTCAAAAGACATCAAAACTAGCTATATTTGAGTGTCCTGTCATTCTCTTTAACGTATTCAGTGAATCTACAGTAATTGTTTAAAATGTCAGCAAATATATCAACTAAAATTCAGTGTGAAACGAGTTTATTTGCATACTTATCTGAATGTGTAGCTCTCTTATTTTTGAATGCCTTGGCATTATCATTGAACTAGTGCGTTAGAAGATTATTATATTAGTCTTGCTAAGCGAAATGTGATTTCATGTTTATATGGAAATCAAACAGATAAACAGTACTTTCTTTTGATCATAGTCATAAAATCAATAATTTAGATTATAAACAGTAAGAGTATGAAAACGATGTGCAGATCGATTTTGGAATATTTTACTAAAAAAGTAAAAGGTATAACAACATTTGTATTTATAGAAGAAATTGCTTTAACTGATCTTTCAACAAGTTCTCGAGACGAAGCTCGTGAAGCATCTTCTGTACCTCAAATTACTCCTCTTGTTAATCCATTAAATAGTATTCATATTAAAATTGTCAAACAAAAAAGACAAGGTTTTCTTAATTTAATGTTTTAATATGAAATATTTAGTTCTTGTTTTTTTTGAAATTTTCGTCCTTCTATAAAGATTTAGAAATTCTGCCAGTAAAGAACAGAATAAGTTAGCACAATAACTTTTCGATAGAAAAACAATTAAATAGTCTAAAACGATTTATTATCTGAAATTCGCTCCGATTACCTCATGCTGATATGTGATATATCATTTTAGGATAGCGAATAAACTTCCATTGAGTCTCACCCAATTTCAAAACGTTCCGCCGTCCCTGTTATCAATTCCATCAGATAGAAAACTCCATTGGCTATTTAAATCACTACCTGGATTTGAACTAATATTGTACTTAATGTTTAGAATTATGAATGAAATATCCATCAAACAAAGACGTATGCTTGCCAAAAACTGCTATGCAATCTATTAGGGTACTGTGAATATCTCATACATTAGGTTTTATTATTAATTATCTCAAAAAGGAAAATAAATTTAGGTTTTCATCCTCACATTCATTTTCTAATGTTTTTTTCATGTTTTTAGTTATTCAGCTTGATCCAAGATGGACGAGACAACTTAGTTGATTGAAAGAATGAAACTTTGCTTCGAACATTTGCTGTATACCAATCAATAGATTGGTCAAATAGCAAGAAGTTTTTAATTTTCTGAAATAAAATTTAGTAAGGCAACAATATCTGCTCTGAGTATTTAGATCGATTATCCAGTATATATCTTCTCCGTACTTGATATTCACAGGTATACCTTAACTCTGTTTCGTCAAAAAAAGGTTATGTCAAATTTCGAACTCTAGCATTAAGAGAATTTTCTAAAGAAGTTTTTTTTTTTTTTATTGATATTTGCTGTGTAAGCTAGAGAAGAAGTGGGTCAGAAAAAGTTTACTAACATTGGTCTGAAATAAGGGTACTTGTAGTGTGTTCTAAGAACATCTAAATCAAAATTTCATAAGTGACTTCAAGTTTTTGAGCTCGTATTTTTATTCATAAGTGTAGTTCCACTAGATTAGTACAGCCTTCAAAGCTTTCTTCCTTTTATTAAGGCTTAATCAAGATATGTATGTTATCCGTAAATATAGCTGATTATAGAACTCAAATGATAAGCTACGAAATTATAGGTCTCCAATAAATCATTTACCTTCGAAATAAATAATACATTCGTTCAAATTTTGCTGAAACGTTTTGAATTATGATAACCCTTTTATTTAAGATATATAAAATAACTCCTATGAAGATGTCGCTTGTATTCGAGATAACTTTGTACTACTTCTGTATGGCTGAAAAAAAAAAGAAACAGGAAAATATTTAGTGAATCATATTCACTCTCCTTCGAATCGTACTCCCGTCATAATCACTTCACTTTATAGTTAAGTAAACTGTAAGCAAGTGATAAGATAATGTAACCAATGTTTTACAATTATTAACAAAAAAATTGTTTTTTTTTGTCATTTAAACTTTCTTTTTTTTTGCAGATAATTATTAAAAATGACGGGGCGACTTCCAGCCTGCGTCATTGATAATGGAACAGGTTATACTAAATTAGGTTATGCTGGTAATAATGAACCACATTTCATCATTCCATCAGGTAAACTAAAAATTAAAAAAAAGACGATTTTATATCATTCGAACAAAAAATTTTTCTAGCTATTGCTGTTCGAGAACGTCCAGGTGGTAGTCGAATTGGACAATCTGGAGAGGATTTAGATTTTTTTATTGGTGATGAAGCATTTAATGCTAAAGGTAAGAAAGAAAAAAAATAAAACAACTAGATCTTATGTTTTGTTAAATATTAATTTATCTTTAGGTTATTCTGTAAAATATCCAATTCGACATGGTATTGTTGAAGATTGGGATCTTATGGAAAAATATTGGGAACATTGTTTATTTAAATATCTTCGTTGTGATCCTGGTTCGTAAAAAAAAAAGAAGTTTTCTTTTCATTGTTTATTGTTTTTGTTTTATTTACTCATAATAGAAGATCACCATTTCCTTTTGGTAAGATATTTAATTTAATATGATAAAAAAAATAAAACGACTTTTTTGTTTTCATAGACTGAACCACCATTAAATACACCCGAAAATCGTGAATATACAGCAGAGATTATGTTCGAATTATTTAATGTACCTGGTTTATATATTGCTTTACAAGTAAGTTAAATATATCGTTCAATTTGAAAACATTAAGTTATATTTTAAGGCTACACTTGCGTTATATGCATCATGGATTGCAAGTGATGTTAAGAATATGCTTACTGGTCTTGTTGTTGATTCAGGAGATGGTGTTACTCATGTTGTTCCTGTAGCTGATGGTTATCTTATAGGTATGTGTATAATTACTTTATTTTTAAAATTTTAATTTATTGTTGTTTGTTTTACAGGTAGTAGTATCAAACATATTCCAATATCAGGACGGGATATAACATATTTTGTGCAAACATTATTGCGTGAAAGAGAACCAACTATTCCACCCGAACAATCACTTGAAACAGCTAAAGCTATTAAAGTATTATTTTAAATAATATTTTCGTTTTTTTTCAATAGATTTTGTATTTTTTAAGGAACGTTATTGTTATGTTTGTCCTGATATTGCTAAAGAATTTGCAAAATATGATGAAGACCCACGTAAAAACTATCTACAATATACAGGCATTAATTCAGTTACTAAAAAACCATTTAATGTTGATATTGGACATGAACGTTTTCTTGGACCGGAAATATTCTTTCATCCTGAAGTATGATTTTGTTTTTCTTTTGATAGTAAACATATTACAGATTTGCATCGGAGACATTTTTAGGAGCAAATCGGAGATGTCTAAATTGCTTCTCAAGAATATGACCATGACTGAGTAGTCTGACACTTATCTACTGAATATCATGTTCAAAGCTTGGGATCATTAGTCATGAAATAATTCTAGACATGGCCACTATTGGTTAATTGTAGCTAGTATATGAAGCTCAAACAATTGAGCACAAAGACTTTGGATCAGTTCGGCCTTCTGCACAGAACTACAACTAGTATTAACTTTAAGAAAGATATCGTTTTATTGGATCTGTCATCAGGCCTAGACATATTTTTCCTATCGTAAATTAAGTTGAACATTGAAGGTTTTTTTGCATGATGAGTGTTATTATTTGAAATTTATTGTACAAATTGATGTATTTTGAACTCAATAGTCTTTACAAAGGTGGGAAAAAAATGAGAATCATGGTTCACTCTGACTTCTCATCAGTGTAAGTTTCGAACAGATATCCATCGAATTCCCCAATATATTAATTTGCACAGTGACTACTAACGAAAAAAAATTGTCATTCGAAAAATCCTTTTATGTTAAATCTGATTTATCAATGAGACATTTAGTTGACTTCGATGCAAGTCTCAAAAACCTAGTTAAAGCAATATTATTATTTTCGTTTATTTTAGTTTTCCAATCCAGAATTCAATACATCTTTATCAAAATTAATTGATGATATTATTCAAGATTGTCCAGTTGATGTACGACGCAAACTTTATGGTGTATGTTAAATTATTTATTTAATTGATATTAAAAAGATCATGTCTATTTGATTTTTAGAATATCGTCTTATCCGGTGGTAGTACGATGTTTAAAGGTTTTGATAAACGATTAAAGCGTGATGTACAACGATTGGTTGATGCTCGACTTCGCGAATCTGAAGAGCTTAGTAAACATAAAGTAAAACTTCAGTGAAAAAGAAAATTCTTAATCAATTTATTTATTTTTGTATAGCCTGAGCCAATTGATGTTAAAGTTGTGGCTCATGCAATGCAACGTTACGCAGTTTGGTTTGGTGGTAGTCTAGCTGCAAGCACAGTAAGAAAATTTTTTAACATAATAATTAAATATTATTATTTGTTTTTTTTTTTTAACAGCCAAATTTCTATGAAGTATGTCATACACGCAAAGAATATGAAGAAAAAGGTCCAAGCATTTGTCGTTATAATGCCGTATTTAATCTTGTGTGAACATGATTTTTTTTTGTTATGTGCTTTTTTTTTCTCTTGCTCTTCACTTAATACGGAATGAACCTTTTCTGTGTTCTATTCTTCTGCTTTACTGCTTGGTCTTCCGTCTTCTAGATTTATTAAACTTACAAGAGAAAAAAAAGTAGTATCATTTTTTTTTTCTTTTTTTTTTTGTGTTTCATTAACGGATGATCTCGCTTATCTTCTTATCACTTCGTTATATTTATACAATTAAAACAAAGCAAACATTTTAAATAAAAATTTAAGCTAATCTTTTGATTTGGAAAAACATATGTTCGTTTGTAATTTTTCATATGGTGTAAGAAATGATTTTTGTTTGAGAATATGTTGAGCTTGATAAAATGGTAACATATATTCAATTGAACAATAACTTGAACCAATGATTGTTGGATAATTAATAAAAACATTTGTTGAATTATTTATTGGTGCAATATTAACAACAAAATTTGATTGAAACTCATTTCCATTGATAAGTGCACGAATAATATGAACTATTAACATTGCTTCTGTCCAATTAGAACGTAATTTAGTACTCGATAGAATGTTTAGTGATTCTTGTAGTTTAGGTTTTGAATGAGGAATTGTTGAATTGGATAAGAGATATTTCATAGCAGTTTTTTGACGTAATATTAAATCAGTAACAATTGGTAATCGACGTCGAACATTTGAATAAACATTTTCATTGTTTTCTAAAAGCTTCTGTATGTCCCAACTTTTGTGGCGTCGTTTTCTTGAAATGATATGATTTTCAATAGTTATAGTTTTTACATGGCTTCCTATTAGCTTCGAATGAATATCTGAATAAGGAATTCCATCAATAGTTATATTATTCATAAGGATTTTAGTACATGAATTATCAATTAATCCATTGCCGATTACAAAAAACCCATTGACATGACCATGGATGTTTTCGGTTTGGTTGAGTATAGTTCTATGTGCATAAGCTGTAAGAATACTTGCACCAAGTCCAAATATTCGTTCGATAGGAAATTTACTAACACGTGATGCAACAT